CTGATTCTATGCCTTCGGATCTAGGGTTGATTCAAGACATTCCATTCCGATAGTTAAGAGGATCATAGGGCAGCCTGCCATAAAAAGGCAGCGTTTGAGGCCATGACATACGTCTAAACTCCACCTAAACCCTCTAGGAATTGAACCCCCATCCTCCCGATAAGCCGTTCGGAATTATACCACTCGGCTACTGCGCTACCTGGTCCAAAATAGATCAATCACTGGTCCAAAACGTATCAGTCTTCAAAAATTCAACTTATAAGTTAAATTGAGCGGGCCTTCGGCCCGCACACACAATGGAGCAATTCTGAATCTCTATAAGTATTCGACAAAGCTCTACTATCCCTCTGAGGACTCTTTTGACCGAATCCCTCATGCGCGCGCAGAAAAAAAATGTGGAAAAATGTCTCCCGTGGGATTCGAGCCCGAACCCGAGTATCTCGCTCGCCCAATATTGAGTGGACGGTTTCGTGGGCCTCCCAGATTCCGTCACTAAATTCTTCAAGGCTGGTCAATATTCTTGCAAGATGCACGAACAGCGCGTTTAGGATAGTGCTCGCCGTTTGTGTGCATTGCGCTAGTCGAATTGGTTCTTCGGCGTATCACTCTGATCAGGTTTGGTGCGTAGGATTCATTGAGGCCTTAATCATTATTGCTGGCGTTACTTGCAGCGTTACTTGCAGCGTTACTTGCCTTGATTACGACGAGCGTTGACTCGGTTATGCCTACTTTTGCTTCTTTGACCATCACCCCAGCTAGCGTTTCGACCATCAGTCTTCTATGGCCTCGATGACGACGAACGCTTATATGGCTGTTGCTATTGCTATCTTTATGGTCGTGAGTCTGGTGGCTACGTTCCCTTCGAAGGCTCTCCTCTACGTAATCTCTGCTATCATCTGTCTTCTGTGTCTTTGATCACGGTGAGTACTGGCTTCTGAGGTTATGTTTCCGTCTTGAGCTACTATCGTATGTGTTTTATCATCGTTACTACAATGACTAACCCGTGGTGGTCCCACTTACAACTTAATCGCTTTATAGTCGTTGAGAAGCTTGTTTGTTATTTAATAGTGACCGATGTTCGACAACTAGACAGACTTACGTAGGTCAGACTTATTAATCAGAGCAAGCCAACTAGACCGCAGTTTTTGAGCTTTGTCAGGTGGTCGAACTCAAGATTCGAGCTTCTAATGCTTGCGTCTGCGATCCTTAGCAACCCCGTCAAGGCTCAGATTTCTAACCAGTGCCGGCCGGTGCTTGGAAGAACAGCCAGGACGCCTTCGACTTAAATTAATTAGTAGGAGATCTAAGTCCGCAGGGTTCAAGAGATCCTTGCGGATCCCCACAGCGATCTTGTGATAACACACCTTATCCTTTAGAATCTAACACATGAGCAACTAGTTTCCCTTCAGTTTCGATAGCACTTTGGGATGCTGATTGCGTACAGTCTTCTACATATGTCATTGAAGTCGTCGGAATGGCTTACTACTCTCTCGCCTTTAACGATTCCGAGGAATCGGCTGATGTTGTTGTCGTTCAGTACTCCTTATCAACTCCTGTAGACACCGTGACCACAAGAGAGGAGTTAGGGAAATCCAGTTCGTGGAGAGGTGGGTCGCTTTGCTTCCAATCTGAGCCGTGCGAAATCCTCCTTCTCCACCTTAATTTCCGTATGCGATTCGACTTTCTGTAATTTTGCGGATACATAGCGTTTGC